TTGTGGGGGGGGGGGGGGGGTCTTGTCTCTCAACAATCAATATTAAGGTTGGTCCGAAACCAAAACGTTCCTCAAATAGAATACAACCGCTCTGTTCTTCAAGCAGTACAAACAGGAACAAAAGTAGTGGTCTATCGCAGCGGTCCAAATTGGAGCCAGATGCCCGAAGAGAGGAACATTGTCAAAACTCAACAAGACCCAAATTTGAGGAACACGACCAAACGGAGCGACATTTTTTTCGCAAAATTTCCTGATAGCCAACGATGCGAAAATCTGATCCAAATGTTCCAAAAATAAGACGGCGCCCACATTTAAGCCAACTGTCCGAGTGAAGGGCCAATGTTCCACTTTGATCCAAGTCCTGTCCTCAAGTGTAGAGATGATGTCGAGCAAAATGCCAATCGAAGGACAAAGTGGAAGTGTGGCCCAGTTGTGGCGGCCGTGTCCGCATTTCAGTTTCATTTCCCGAGAACGGGACAATGTGGAAATGTTTTCCCAACATTGTCACTTGAGGGACAATGTCAATGTTGGCAAAAATTGCAAAAACAAACGGACAGAGTCTGTCTTTGAGCCAACGAAGGCACCGTGTCAAGATGTGAGCAGAATGTCCAAATCTCCAGCTCATGTCCAAATTCAAGTTCATCTCTCCGTTGGAGTGACGGTGGCCCCCATGTGACCCGGTCAAGGGGCAAATGTCCACATTCGAGCCAATGAGGGAACCAGATCAGAATTTGAGCCAAATATCCCAGCGAACGTCCAAATAAGGGTTCAAGCATCAAAACATGGCAATGGCCGTGATGCGAACAAGTGCGTCTGCTCAAAGCTCACAAGACTCATTGTTGACGCACACTTTATCAACATCATCTGAGCTCTGATCCCGAGACAGTTATGCCTTGACGTGGCCATAAAACCAGATAACAGAGCCCACGAGAGAGAGAAAGGGGCGGCGTATTCCACAACTCATATTTGACATTGGCGAATCCTCCTTCGATCGCGCCTGCTGCTGGATTGCCTTGCGACGGACAAACAAACAAACACGCGCGCGCGGACGCTACGTCCCGAGCGCAAGGCGCAGGCCGCCGCCACTCTGACGGAGCCGCCTCTTCCTGAGGCTTGTTCGACTCAAACCTCAACTCACTCGTCGACGCCCATGATGACAAAGTCAGCTCCATTAGCAGCTTTTTGCCTCGGGGCCTTTGAATGTGTGCTATTAAACAGCAGCTCATGTCTTGTGATGGGGCCTTTTAGAAGACGTGGTTACATTTATGGTTGGCTTACTCACACACTCGCACACGCGCACACACACACACACACACACACACACACACACACACACACACACACACACACACACACACACACCACACACACACACGAGGCTGCGGCAGACATGGCTTAGATGCACTTGTATACTGCCCTATACTATGACGTGAATGGCCTACCGTAATCATTGTTGGAGGCTACTGAATGACAAGCAAGACAATCATACTGTAGTACCTGAATATAATGTTCCGATGTTGAGAGAGTTTATTTTTGTGGGGGGAGTACAAAATGAATTCTTGCACCTAATGTTGGTTTCTTCTTCAGCAGTTTTGTGCCATCCTTGAATTATAATTTTCATGCACGAGAGCCCTTTGTACACGGGCAAAACAAAAAGTAGAACAAGCAAATGGCACTGATTTGGTGGTATGGCGATGAACTCATGCTTCAGGGCGTTGCTCCTTTAGGCCTTGTTTTAGTCCATTTTTGATACAACACGAGTATCTTGTTGGACCAAAGAGATTTCTCAAATTCTCGAAGTAGATTTGCACCGGGACAAATGGACACACACACACACACACACACACACACACACCACACACACACATGATTCAGGTGAGATTTTCCAGGAGCAAAGGTGGATTCCAGCGGCTGCTTTGCGATACAGTCCCGGATCTGGAATCTATCCAGAGCAGAGTGCATATCCCGGGCAACCTCTTTATGCACACAAACAAGCATCGCATATACACGACGGGAGTCACAGCGACTCTCACCTGAATGTGAGAGAGTCAGGGGAAGCCAAACACTGCAGCCGCCCTTCCAACTGGTCAACTGGTATAACGCTCGGCCGCCCCCCCCATTTTTATCCTACAGAAGAAAAAAAAAAAAAAAGCCACGCATGAGGACAGATTCAACCAGGTTGAAAGGTTAGAGGACAGGGGCCGGCCAACATTTGCGCGCGAGGGCCAGGTCACTCGTAGATAAGATAACAAAAGCAACGTGAAAATGGTGAGTCGCCCGTTGTGGTTTCAAGCATTGAGGCCTCCTATTCCCGCAGCGTGTCCAAATTCTTCCCGCGCAAGAATTTTGGCGGCCCGCAGAGTGCGAAAAGCTCAATATTGTACAGGTGAAGGACACCCGGGCAGGTCGACGGGTCCGACCATTTGGGCGTGCAAATTCTACGCCACCGGCGCGCCCTTCTTTCCAATCGATGCCCAGGGGCGTCAATCTTAAGAGTCCCGCCCAGTCGGCAGATTTAATCTGCCCAAATTCTGGACGGTGGTCAAATTTGAGTGGAAATGTGTCCCAACAAATTTCTGCTGATCGTGATCTCCACATGTGAAATGGACACATTCTGGAGAGAGGTCAGTTGTTTCCTTTGAGTCTTTGAGTAAGACGCATGGTAGGCCTCAAGTGCTCAAGCTGCTATCCAGATTTGAAGTCTCACACATCAATCCAATTTCTGTTGCTCGAGGCGCTCTCCAAATTTGAGACGGGCTTCTTGAAGTACAGTCGCCCTAAAGCAGCATTGCGAGTCCACGGGCGCTTTGGTCCGGCTACGTCGCCGTCTCTGTTTGAAATCCGCATGTGCCAAATCCAAAAGAATCCCGGTTGGACGTCCAAATTTGAGATTTCCAAATTCTGTAACGCGGTCAAGCTCCATCTCCCAGGACTGTTTGATCCAGAAGTACGCCGGCTCCAAAGGGCCAGACGGCAGAGACCGAAGCCACCGTGGGTCAGGGCGCGCAAACGCTTCCCTTTCCCCGGGCGACAGGCCTCTATTTGATGTCCGGATGCGTCAAACTGTGCTGCGCTCTTGTCACGACACCGTCGCCGACGCTTCCAGCCCCGGTGTGAGAAAGGTCATCGTCGGGGGAACTGGAAATAGCCCTGCGGTGTGAACCAGGAATGGCACGGAGGAGAGAAATGACCGGGAAGTTGTTCCGGCCAGCCAGAGCGTGGGCAATGTTTGCTCTACGCTCGCAGCTTTTCACGGATTCCGCTCGAGCCACAAGAACCCGACAAGAAGCGCGATCATCTTGTTTCCAATTCCGACATTCTCAAAAGGTTGCGGGCTGCTGTCTTGACGGTCAAAGTTCATTTCGCAAGGAACGAGAAGCAACAGCTGGTGCGAAACCAGACTTGTTGCTCAGCTATGAAGAGGCGCTCTCGCGCACCGTCCAATACGCTCGCACCTAGACTGTACATAACGTGTCAGGTCGACACGCACGCACACCTGCGCTCTCTCATGCGTGAGCGCCCATTTCCACAATTGGACGGACAGACGGAAAGCTACAATCCCTGCTCAAGTCTTTACATGCTGCCCCCCCCCCACCCCCTCACATCTCACCTTTTCCCCCACTTGAACACTGCCTCTATTCTTTAGGAATGAAAAAAAAACAACATTGGACACACACGGCGTCAGAAAACAGGGGGACTTCCAGTGACTGAAAGAAATAGCAGACTAATTGCCGCTGCTCTGTTGTCCATCAAGACGTGACCTTTTCGACATGTGTGCGCCACGTTGGAAGCGCTGGCAACGGGCCAGAAGGAGGGGGAGAAGGAGGAAGGTTTTCCGGGTCTCCCCGGCTCTGCGGCGGTCTGACTCGGCTCGGGACAGCCCACGGCACGCCTTTGTGACGATATGCGCATTGGAAAATGGTTCAGGGCCCCGGCCTTCAACTTTCCTCTTGATGCGCCTCTCCTGCTCAGGTGAGGGCATGGCTTCGCTTGACTTTTTGAGTGTGATTTGAGTGTTGAGGCTTTGGGTTATTTCATTGTTTTTCAAAATAGGGGGGCTGCCCCCCTGGGGGGGGGGGCCGCGGGGCTCAGTCAAGGAGGGCGCGTTTGACCTCGGGGAACATGCTTTTTTATTTTTGTACAGTCCTAGAATAAAGTGCAGTTTCACCGCCACGACGTTAGGGGGCAGTGGCGCTGTCATTGGCAGAGTTTGCGCAGGGAGCATCGTAAGGGAGGAAATGCAGTACGACGAGGCTTGTGTTGCGCTTGGCTCCACTGTCACGACGGTACCAGACGAGGAAAGATCGGTGAGCTTACTGTGTCTCAAAATGTTGGTAGCGGACAGCATGAAGCCAAATCAATTAAGGCGTCAATTAAAGACATGACACCCAATCACGCTGATAAGACGCTTGAGTTTTTTTTTAAGCGAAAACGTGCCGAATATTGCCAACGATCATGCCGCTTTGTGACTGTTACTTAAGGACGTAAACTAAAAGGCTGTACCGGTCCCGGCTTCACATTGAGCAGGAGTCGAGAGTTGCCGTGTCCTGCTTCAAACCTCGCTTCGAAAAGCTGGGCATTGCAAAACGTGCTCGTTGTCGCCACTTCATCTTTGATCAAAAAAAAAAAAAAGCACAAGTTATTTGATATATTTTTGTTTTGCTGGTTAAAGTTTTTTTTAAATATTGTGCTCCTGAGATAATGTTGGTGATTAGTTTGAATGCATTATTAGTTATTGGTTTTGTAATTTTATTCTTCGGTCTCATGTGGTTTGACATGGTCAGTCAAAAAATATTTATAGTTAAATGAAGGATTTAATGTTATTTTTGAATTTCAGATGCACTTTAAATCTTTTCTGTTACAGTTAGTAAAGCTATTCTGTGTTGTAAATTGGTCCATGTTTCTTTCTTTTTTATTCTCTTATACGTTAATAAGGATACCGTGTTATGCAAAGGTGTACTGAGAACAATTTTCTAGACAAATGATACTATTTATAGTGGTGCGGGGGGCGAGATGTTTTCCTCTTCCTAGGGGGGCATGACAGAAAATAATTGAGAACCACTGGCTTATTTGGACTTTTATATGTGAAAAGCGCTTCACATTTCATGTGATCCTGGATCGGTGGCCGGCTTAAGTTCCAGAAACCGATGTGTGATGCTAACACTGCGTCCATAAACAACCGCCAATAAGTTTTGTATCGAGACTTGTTTGGTGTATTTTGTTTGGTTGTTTTGGGGTTTTTTTGGCTGCTTTTTTTTTAAATACTGACAATGTTGTCAAGGATGGGGCTGAACATAACTACTTTCAACCAAATGTATTCAGTTGGAGATGTAACAATCCGATAGGAAAGTGTGTCATTGAGAACAGTAGATGCTCACACAGAGTAAAAGTTGCAAAAGTTGTCCGACTTGAAGGGATTCCAAAGCCCGCTGTGGCCCACTCAGGGCTTTCTGCATTCAGTACAGTCGGGCTCAAGTTATGCCGTGACATAGTACGGAGCGGGGGGGTTGAGATTTTGCTCAACGCGGCCACATCGCCGCGGCAACCGCACCTCAGCCGGTTTAGAGACGAGGCGGTTGTGCAGCGGTGGCGCTAATGCTTAGCGGTGGTTAACAACAGCCCACGGGAGGCGACCGTGTCCAATGCGGATCGCTTCGATGCACATGCCAGAGATGGAAAAAGCAGTTCAAACAAGAGAGAAAGGAGCTCCAACAAGTGTCTGCCTTTTCCTCTATCGAGCCATCCATCAAAGTCACACTTCAAGATCAGAATCAGGAACGAGGTCTACTTTCTTGTCCTTCTCCTATTCTCTCGCCATCATGCCCAAGAGAAGAGTGACCGGTAAGTGTGGAGCAAGACGGGACTTCAGTGCCATTTGAATTCTG